AAACACACAACACGTACACCACAACACTAGACATAGTAGATTAACACCATCCTCCCAGCCAGACCGCAACTTACCACTACCCGACACCTGGAGGTAGTCGCCCAAACAGATTGAACTTCGACTCGAGCACCGCACCAAAAACTCCAATGAAGCAACGGCTAGTTGGTACCACACCCAACGACCAAAATTTTCTCCAGACGGAGCACCCCCAGATCAGAGACCGGAGGATGACCCCTCTCTCCCCAACCACTCAACCACGCAGCAAGCCCACCGGACAGATGATTGGAGCCTCTGTCCGCCGCTGATCGAACCAACACCGACCTCCAAAATCAGGGAGACGGCAAGCGGAGAAGATAAGGGAATAAACCTCAGTCCTGACCAACGCCGAAGAGTCGGACGCAACCCCCATCTCGTCACCTTTCAGTACTACCGGAACCCGCCCTTGACATATACAATCGCCAAGAGCGGTGAGGCTCTACACAGGCGAAGGAGAAAAATCCGAGAGCCTCTTTGAAAATTGTGCTTTTTTTTCAATGAAGATTTTTGACAACTAAAATTGACCACAAATGAGATCTTTTCATGGGTCGAAAAGTAATTACATCTAACCTAAATAAAAACCCGGCCCTTTCCCAGTTTCCCACCTTAGAGCATCTCCAACCCATCCTCTATAGCAAGCGGAAACGCCATGGTTGGAGAGAATTCATCTCCAATCGAGCCCTCTATTTGTGCAGGAAACAACAGAGGGGTTTTGTGGAACGGTTTGGCAACCGTTCCACTGTTCATCTGCTATAAACTTTCTTTTTTTTTTTTTTATTAAAAAATGAAGTTGGGTTGTATTTTGGGCTATTTAGATGTATTGTGGGTGGGCCTTTTTTTAACTACAATTGGGCTAATTGAGTTAATTAGTTTTATGAGTTGAATTAAAATATTTTTATAAATGTTTTAAACTTAATTAATGCAATTAATATGGTAGAATTTTAAGTAGTGTAATGAAAAATTGAATACTTTATTAATTAATATGATAGAATACTAATTAGTATTTAAATTCACTTAAATAAAAATTCCAAACAAACAACTTAAAATTACAA